AATATTAACCTCACTTTGTATTTTTCAGGAGAAAAATAGAATACGTAACTCGAAAAGAAGCTTTCACACCTTTGAGTGCGTTTAACATCTGAGTCAAGAAGTATACTATTTTTCTAACTATATCAATGCTCACAATATTAACACTCGAGTGCGCCTTTCTCACATCTGAGGTTATGATATCCATACAAAGGACACAAGAAAATCACGTCTTTTTAATCCAACCAAATCATGAAAAAATACTTCACGTTATAGTCAAACAATTGAGGAAAAAAATGGTGGACTAGGACATTTATTGATCCTTATAGTAGCAGTAGCACAGTAGCAGAATGAGTAAATCATCAAGTGCACTCCAATCAAATCAGTATCGATGAGCACTTACGTTCGCATAAGTATCTGCGGAGAAAACAGAAAATAGAAAGGAAAAGAGCGTACGCACGTTGTGGTAAGTAACGCCGCACCATCCTGCATCACTTGTATAATCCTCTGAATACAGTTATGTAATCAAATCCGTATGTCCTTCGCTATTCTTTTGATCGTTCGTTTAGTTGTTGCGACGAGTATATTTTATCAAATAGCACCAACAGTCTCCTTGATATTCACTTTTTGATACCCTCTGTAGGTGTGCACATATTCAGCCAGACAGATGTATACGCATAGAATATGTGTATATAAATTCTCGCATATACAGCGCATGGAACAAGCATAAAGCTCCAGAGCCTTTAGCACCCTATACTTAGAAATACGAGACTAATAAAGCGTAGGTAGTAAAGAGAGCCCTCTACCTTGCTTTACCTATCCTCTCGTTGGAACCTACACAAAGCTCCTTGCCTACTCACGGAGTGAATAATCTGCCTTGTTCGCCTTTGCTGGATAGAGAGGATGAAAAGGGGCGAAAAATAAAGAAAAGTGACGCAGAGAAGCGCTTGCACGGAATGCAAAAAGGCGCTATCGAGCCCAGCTAACGAGAAAGCAAGAATCAGTCGCGCCCTCTTCTTTCGCCTCTTCCCTATCTCTCTAGGCCGGATGGAATAGATTTGTTCTGTATACAGCGCGGGATTTCACTGGCTCCAACTGCTACTGCTGTCTCGGCGAATCATCGCCCTCTGGGAGCCACCAGCCTCCCGGCGCGCCCTTCTTCCTCCTTCTGCAGGTTCTTTCCTTTGCCTCGAAATTCATTGGTTGGGTACACATACACGCGCGGCCAAACAGGTTCCTCGGTAAGAAGTTGCTGTTGTAGTGATTCTTGCAACTTTTCGCGGAACGATATTGTGCGTTACAGTATGTAGGGAAGAAAAAGAAAATACAAATGAACTTTCCGAAGGGGCCCAGCTCTTTGCTCGATCCCCAGCAGTTTTTCGGACACGCTAATCTGCTCGAGAAGTTTAATGGAAAGGAGGGAGCGCTTTTTACGAGAAGCGAGGGGCGTCTTTTTAGCTGTTTTTTTTTTTCCGGCTTGCTTTTGGCCGAGAAAGGGTGAGAGAGAGAGAGATTTTAATGAAATACTGTCCATGGCGGTTGAAAAGCGAGAAGGCGCGTGGGAGAGCATTTGATTCAACGCCGCAGCGGTCAATGATCCCCATCTCTCTCTTTAGATTGCACCGCGTGAACTTGAATGTGTGTATAAAAAAAAATTGCCTTTATCGCCGACGCATCGTTAAGTACTTTAATTTATTAAGATATAATGTGCCACTCAGGTACGTTATTACGCGTAAAATATTACGTTGGACTTTACGCGATGTGTTGTCGTGTGAACAAGCGTGACGCCAGATGAGGCAGTTTTTTGATTGATTGTACTGTGAAAACAGTAGTAGCTTGTTTGAAATTTTAAGCTTTTAGTTTGTTTAGATATTAAGTTATGATCAATTTAAGGAATACTTCAAAAAAAAGTTCGATAACTTGGGATATCTGTTAGTAAACAACGATTATCTTACAACTGATAGTTAAATATCGTTTTATAAGGTAATTATACCTTTTTTTTTTACGCTCATCACATTATTTTTACCACAGGAATATTGTCAGTTTCAACTATGATCTCATATTAATTAACAAATGATTTATATATAAAACGTATTGACAGGTTATTCTGACATGGGTGCTTAAGTGGTCGAAAATAGAAAAAATCACCTTATAATTAAATCAACCGAACAGTGGATTATAACTCACAATAATCAAGGACAACTGAAATAATGGTGTAAAAATGAAGTAGGATGTATAGAATCGAGCACTGCCTTTATACAAAGATAGTGTGAGAACTCTGCAAACTAGGCCACATCTTAAGCTGTTACAAAGGTGGAAAAAAGGAATGACGACTGTTATGTGGGTACAGCTAACGGTAACTACCATCGTTATTACCAGTTATTGATTTACATTTATAGGCGTTGTTGTTTCCCAACTCAACGTGTACATTGGTAAATGTCAATTTCAATCGAGAGTATAAGGATTCAATTCGGATACAGAAAAACTACTTCGTTGGTAAATAAATTTGAACTAACTGGTTACTTACTCAAAGTAATCAACACAAAAACAAAGTACCCACAAGCGTTGGGGGCCTACATTATCCGAGTGTAAAATCCAAATTTGCAGTAAACGCCAGAGAAACACGCTCCGTTGTTCTCGATTCACAAACAAACCTGACCACATTCGATTCTCCTTTTCATTGTCACGTTCAAAGCAAAGCAACCCACACACACACATCGCACACATTTACCAAACTACCTGTTCGAATTCAAAAACTGCTAATTAACGTCACTGCCAACAGAAGATTGTATTCCAGTAGCTGCACGAGCAGTTGGTTTAGTAGCGTGTCGCCTCGCCCTGCTATACAAATCTCGCGGGGTTGTAAAAATCGACAACACACAGAGTGAGAGAGGGAGAGAGAGAAACACAAGCGTCCGCAGGTAACAACCTTTAAAGCGTTGTCGAACTTAATTTGAATGTTACCGTACTGGATCTTCGAGCATTTGCATATTGACGACGTGTTGTTCCATCTATTATGAAGTCCGTGCAGGCGAGAAGATACGGGGGAAAGCGTACACGGACAAAGGGAAATGCAACACCAGCGTTCGGTTACCTGATATACCGCGCTATATCAGCTTTCGTTGTCGAGCGCTTCAAGGGACAACGGTGGTGCAGCTCCATCGATAAATCCATTTGCTTTAACTCCATTGGGACGCGTAACGCTGGAGTTGAAACAAAATAGAAAAAAGGAGGCGAAGGAAAAAAAAAGAAAGATAAGGATTGCTGTGCGGCGGCATGATGTTCGGTAGATTTGAGTGCACGGTCATGTGTGGGGATGCTTTTATAGCGTATGCCAATCGCAGGAGTCGTGCAAGCGATTAAAAAGTCGAGCCGCGACGCACGAAGAAAAACAGCGTTCATCAACAACCGATAACCACGCGTGGCCACCTCCCGTCTGTCTGGCTAATCTTGCAGAAACTATCGGCGAAGGGAGAGAAACGATGCCAGCCCAGCCGGCCGTGACGCCCGTGACCTAGGCTCTCGCCTGCATCGCTCGCACCTATCTTTTTCCCTCTCTCTGCACGTCCATCTGATTCTGCGTGCACACGCGTTCAAAGGTACGTACTTATAAATACTAATGCACCTCCTCTGCAGCTATTAAGTTGATTTTTATTTTGCATACGCGGACTTTTGTATGAGGCTACCGTCATTACAGGTTCGAAAAGGGGTGAAAGGACCGTCACGACCTTTGCTAAAAGAGAAAAATCCTCGCAGATGCTAGTATTGTGCCAGACAATGACAACACAGCGATTATAAATGAACTCCAAAAAGCACAACTTTCCAAGTTGTCCTTGCTTCGTTGAGGCAAATTGTCTAATGCTAAAAATAGACCTTTGTGTTTACACATGTAACCAGTGGATCTGGTACATTGGATGCTACATCACGTTCGCAGCAGAGATCGAGTTGGTAGTGAGTATTCAACGGATACGACTAAAAAGGAGCAACTGTAATTTAAAAAAAACATTGGTTGAGCTAAAAGAAGACAAAAAGGCGGTGAAATAGATCCAGGCATTAGATCTTGTCGTGGAAGGTGTATACTGAAACATAGGATACCAATAGCAGACAATAGCAACTAGTTGTGGATGGTAGAAGCCAATTTCTGGTAAATTGATCTATTAATATTTACAACCAAAATATATACAGTCTAAAGGAAAGATTAAAGAATGTCACAATAATTTATTTCGTTCTACTTTGGATAATGTAGTTAAAAAATGGACTATGTCCATCTCATAATTTCAATTAAGAGTATTCAACAATCACTATTACAAGGAGGCCACACTTTTGTCGGTATTGTATGTTCTACCACTCTAGCTTCTTCAGGATTTTGGTGAATCATTAGAGTTGCAGTGACTTCAATATCCAACATGAACTCTAGCAGGTGACTTTAACATACCTGGATTTGACTGGGTTGTAAATGATAGAATATCAACTGCGGTGGGTCATTATAATAGTGTTTCTATGCGAGAACTTTAACTATTAGCTAGTAAATTTTATCTGTTATAACATGATAAATCATTAAATCCAGTAAATAATAAATTGGACTTAATAATCATCTCTACTCAACACCTCGTCTGCCGAGACTCTTTAGACGCATTATGTCGTGCTGATATTTACCATAACCTTTTCCATCCACAACAATGCTGACTTTGTCTCAATTCACCAAAATCTCGAGTCAATAAAGTAGGAGTCTGAACAAAAAAATCAGAATCTCTTATGGTTGTTTTCTTTCTCTCTCTACCAACACAACTGTTGCATTTACTAATGTTATATCCATGACTTCATTACTGCACTACTGCTTCTGCTATCACTACTTTTGGGAGGGTGTTGTACAAATACAGTGCGATACAGTTGATATTATTTTTGTTGTTTCCATTGCAAATCGCTTATACAGAATTTAATTGCGTGATGTAGAGCGAGCAAATAAATTTGGGTGAAAATTTTGGATAGGGTAAAAAATGTCAGAGCTCGAAAATTAAACTTACCCAACTCTGTAGTCCGTACATGATGGTGGTGGGTTCCAAACTGTGCTGTGGCAGAGCATCCAGTCGCACCAAATCTACGTGAATAATAAAACCAAAAACCAACGGTCACAAAAATTGTTAGGACAATAAAACAATTAAAAGTTAAAAAATGACGATGAATGATCGCAGCGCGCTGCGCACATAAATAATATCAGGAGGGGGGGGGATTAGCGCGACGACGATCAATCCTTCTCACGTTTGCGGTGAGAAAGGAGTAATTTCGCACAAGACCTCGCGCGCTATCTGACCTGACTCATCGGTAATATTAATGGCGCACGGATACTCGAAGTGACAAAAGATAGCGATCGATCTTTATGAAGTGTTCTTCATCCCAGCATACATGGCGTACATGTATACGAAGCCAACACGTGGAATGACCGCTTAATAACGAGTATTCGTTTTATGATTGTTTATGCATCTTCTCAAATTCCGTGAAAACTGGCTATAATTGAGTTTAGTACTCTTGAAATTTATCAGTGCGTCATTACTCGTATTTCCATTCTAAGATTTGATAAATAAATAATCAGAGTGGAATACAACACATGGAAACGGAGTTGAATTTTGCTGAATCCATTTATTTTTACCTTTAACGAAATCTCAATTTTTTTTCTCATTTAAAGTGAATCTATAGCCTAGCTGGCGAAGAAACCAGCAAAATCAAACATGTTCTCGATTAAACTAACACGATTCTGGAGTCGATATCAAATAAAGCTGATTAAACACTAATATTCGCTACGAGCCGACGCAGAGGTTGTGCCCTCTCTAGCCAAAATCACACAAATATTATTGCATGTAAACAAACTACTTAAAGCATATATACGTGTATATAGCTGCTAGTGATTGGCCTATCCCAAATGAACCCAATCTTTTGGCAATAAAAATTTAGAAATTTATTTAAAAACTACTATCGTACGTAACATCAGCTTGATAATTCTAAAAATCAACATCAAACTTATCCTAAATATCTTAACATTATGACTTTTCATCAAAATTAAATACCTAAATACTTACAAAAACTATTTAACAACTAATCACCTTCAAAAGTAGTCTTATCTTTGATAGACCCCATTAATTTGATAAATATATTGTGGGTTATAAATAGATGGTATTAGGCAAACTCATATTATAATAACGAATCAAGAAAGACGTACATTTTGTATAAATTAAAAAAAAAAAAAAACGAGACAAAAAACAAGCTACGTGACTACAAAATGTCGTGAGCCAATCAAAGGTACAAAGTTATCGGATGTCAAAAACCTTGTTCAGCTCGTATTTACACACTTACGTATGAAATAGTATACAAGTACAAATGAGATTATGCATACCTTTATAGCGGGCAGGAGTATTTGCATGTCCTCGACGACGACGAGCCTGGGGCGCTCGTCGAACTCGAGCTGGGATTTGAGTAGGCTGACGCCGCGCTCAAGTATCAGGCTGAACATCTGCAACGAGACGACGAGGGCCCGCTCCTGGACCTCTGACCTGTACCCTTGCTCCATCTGCGAATCTGTAATTGAAATCCAAAGGGAGAAATTTACCAAGCGATCAACAGGACGAGATATCAAGTTGCTTTGAGAGCGGGAGGTTCGGGCTTTTAAGGAGGCTATCGTTAAAGGGCGAATCGCATCACGAAATAGCTCAGTAGGTCTCATCGCCGGAAATGGAAAGTATAACGAGTCGGGAAACCACTGCCGAGGCGCTTTCGTGACCATTCGTTAGGTTTGAGAGGAGCCAATTCGGTGACGATTCTTGGAAAAAATGAAATAAAATGATCATCGTGCCCTTATACGTCGTACAATTGCACAGTTGCATACTCACGGTTAACAAAACCAGGAGAGACGTTGTGGCTCGTGGATTACATTTCATTTAAAGTGTTATCTCATGTGTTTTGTAATCAGTCCGATAAATACGGTTTGGTGAACAAAAATTTATAATCTTAGCTATTGCAGGACAATTAACCTTTGAGTATCATAATCATATACATTCAAGAGCACGTCGATGACTTAGTGGTTAGCGTGTTAGCCTCGAAAGCAACACGGCTCAAGGGATCCTGATCGGGGTACTTGGATAATTTTTTTCCGAGGATTCTTGTCAGAAATAGAATTTGCGAAACCAACTTAAGAATAACATGTAATTTTTAAGAATAACCTACATAAGTAATTGGTGTTAAGATAAAAATGACATCACTCCAATTTATAACTCTAAAATGAAAACTAAAGCGAGCAAACTTCTTCTCATTCCAAAAGCGATAGGCAAGCTGTAGTTTACAAAAATAAAAAAAGTAATGTTATAACACATACGAGCTTGTACTTGATCCTTCATTGCGAAGGAAATTAATGAGTCGTAACCAAGTGATTTTCATGCAAATGATTATCATACAAAAATACTTATACTTTTCAAGTGATTACTATACGAAAAAAAAATGTTAAGTTCGTTTTACATGCTAGTGATTTTCCAATGTGTTCCAAATGTTTAATTTAATGATACTTAAATCAACAGTTGAATGAGCGAGCAATAGGTGAAGGAATAATAATTAATTCCTGATCCAACGTGTGCATAGTGTCAAAAAATGGTTAACAAACGTGTAATACAGAAATTTAAATTACGTTGATTCACAATGAATTCAATTTAAAAAAAAATCACATTTCACGTATCAAATACAGGACGTCAAATCAAAAATAAGAACGCTACTGTAAACAAATAACAAGTTACTTTAACTTCTATACACAAGCTCAGCTGTGTCAATATTTTATGAGCATCATTGTACCATGATATTACAAATGAAAATGTGTTTCTCATAACTGTGCACTGAAAGTAGGAAATGCTAGGATTCTCCGAGAAAAGAAGAATATAGAGACAAAAGCAATGACGCGCTATAAAAACTCAACCAAACTAGATGTACGCTCATGATTCGATTTTTTTTTTTTCCTTTTCCATCATAATTCATCGCAGGGCTATACTCATTTTCCGAAACGAGCATTAACGTACCACATAAGTACTACCAGAGAACAAGAGGGAACTTGAATTTCAGCGGCAATTGAGTGAGAAAGCCCAGCGCAAGACGTTCGCGCCACACGTATACATCCTTACTTCTCTGAGAGGAATAGAAGGAGGAGAAGAACGGAATACTGTACAGAAGCAAGCAGCGCGAGAAGGGAGTAGAATCTAGATACACGGAAGCGTGTGCACGACCCAGCTAGAAAGAGGATTCTCATTATCTCACATATCTGTCGTCTGTAATCGGCATTGTCGCACGGCGTCCTCTTTTTCTCTTGCTCTCCTCCTTTTTTGCCCTTGCCTTTCCACCTACTAAATATTTTTATCCCTTATCTTATCTTCTGCCTTCTCGCACATCATTTTCCTAACTTCCAGAAGACTAAACTCGTATGTAGCAGATGTATTATTCCTTACTTAATAAAAATGATTTTAGGGCGTTTTTTTTTTTTCATTTTATAAACCGCAGCTTGCTTGTGACTTTTGAAATGAGAAAGGGGTTCGCTCGTTTTTTGTTTATTATTTTGGAAACAGTCTGCATTTTTTATACAGATATCAATATGTGTTTAATTATAAATTTTTAAAACGTACGTGCGCGTGCTAAGAAATTCACAGAAATTTCCTCCAAATACTGCTGATTAACTATATTGAGCCTTTAAGAACTTGAAAAGTAAAATTCTTTGACAAAACTTTTTGAAAATCTATTTCTAGATTACTTTTTACTTGGTAATTGTCAAAATTTGTGGATGAATACTCAGTTGTATCTTTAAAAACAACTTTTTTATTCCAGCCATTTCACACATTCTGTACAGCTTGGGTACTGTTTGGCTGCACTGCATTTACCTCTCAAGAGTTTTGCAGCGTATACAACGGTGATAAAAAAATTACAAGACAACATTAAATTTTAATAAAAAGTAATGGATGAAATAACATGTCCATGGAGACACGCATCCCTCTACAACATATTTATAATCGGCACCTAAATGTCCACGCGATTGTCTCTTCTGACGTATCTGCACCACAAGAGTAAATCATCGGAGTATACAAGGCCTTTCCATCTTCATCCCTTCTTTGTATCATCCAACGCTTCAAAATCACTCGTTGAGTACTGGTGCACAACACGAAGAAAACATCTATCGTACTTTCCCACGTTCCTCCGTCTCACCATCCCGCGTTTCAACTGATTTTCATCCTCCATTATCATATTCCGCCCATTCAACCATCTTGTTCACCTCCTCCCGTTTCTCGGAAACCCCTTCGCATTTTCCACCCTCCGAGCGATTCCTCCGCTCCTTTTTATGTCACTCGGCATCCGTCCCTCTCTCTCGAGCGCCAGTGCGTGGCAAACACAAGGCGCGGTACGCACGAGCCTCGTATCGACCACAGCCGAACGTACATACGTAAATACGTAGGTACATGCATATATACATAAGGAAGCGCCGTCGCTACTACCCAGAAGTACTTTACGAGGGCGACGTTGCGGGCGGTGCCTTTTATCCGCGAAAACTTTGCCTCGGCACATCCGACCGCCGCTTTTTTTTTTTATCATCCTCCGAGCTACCTGCTGCTCTGTCATTGTCTCCGGGCGTATGCAGGTTCCGGGAAAAAATGTTTGATGGATCGATTTGATGGAAATGAATCGAGGCTTCGCTGAAAATCGTGAAAATCCTCCTCTTGCGACTGTCCTCAAAATTATTACGTATACCAAACAACACGTGTGCTGAATCTTTTGTAATTTATTGACACGCACATTTCGAAATACGTCACAAAATGCTGTGTTATTGTTATTCTAGATGTGATACCTAAATTCTGCCAGAAATCGATAAGGTAACAGCCTTAGCATACGTACGTAAGAAACACCAAGAACCTTCACGTATTAACCAAGGAGCTTGTGTAGAGCTATACAGATATTGCATCCAAAGACAATCCCGCAGATGAGAGATCCAGGATTTATAAGCTAGATTCTGAATGGGATTTGGCAGACTTCGACTTCCAAAAAGTGTGCCATGAATTTGCCAACAAGAAATGTGTTAACTACTGCTCCTGGGTGTGAGACCCGGAGGCTTGGAAAATCAAAGCTTTCACAAGTCCTGATTGCAATCATTGAAGTATGCTTTTCTCCCTTTTGCATGTGTATCTAATTGTACCTCTTTGGTCGTCTCAGCCGTAGTTTCCTGGATTCAAGCATCTCTTAGTTGACAAGTCTATTTGTATGGAAGCCTAGTAATAAACTCCTTTTGTCTCCTCGTACAGGACGATTATCCATTCTTTAGCACAAAGCCTTTTCCTGGTGGCAATGCTTGTGTCAACCAGGCGTTTGAGCATCAGGACCTATACCAAACTTTACGACACTGGTTTAAAATATTAGTGTGATTTTTGGCAAAAACATCTCAAAGATCCTTTTAGGTGAGACGTCCAAGAAGTCCTTGATTAAGAAGTTCGATGAGAGAGCAGCCTTTGGCACACTGTCCTCCACAAGAGCAGCTATTTCTCTAATTAGCGTACATGGCTTTTTAAACTCTAGCCTTTTAACTAAACCCTTCAAAAAGGCGTACAGAAGTAGGCCAGCTACCCCTAAATATGCTGCGACGAGAAATGTTTACATAGTTCTGAATAAGTATAGGCGTCATGGGTATCCTTTGGAAACATTGGATTTAAAAACTCTGTCATCAAAAGTGGCAATGTTACTGTAGCCTTGGATTTCGCTTTCGGAATACAAGCTCTGACTCTTATAAAGCTACATAATATGGGAGTTCCGAATAAAAGAATCGAGATTAAGATCCCAGAGTATACCAAAATTTCAAAGCCAGGAGCTTATCTGTCCTATGCAAGCTTTTTACCTTTCCACGACTAGGCCTTATATGTTACTAGTACGATAAAGCACTATATGAGTAAGTCGGAAGACATCAGAAGTAACTGCTGATGTCGTTCAAGCCTCCGGCTTGGTGTCATCTGTGGGACGAGAAAAGGTACTGCTCGGTAAATATCTTCGAACAAGCATTCGTATAAGTAATTGAGATTAAACTTCGTTAGACGTTCGTTTGATCAGCAATTCATCACAATTCTAACAGACCCTTGAATATGTATGTATGTACTACCTTGTCAAGATCACTTATATAATTTCCCCCATTAGCAAACAAACACTGTCATACAGAGGTGTATGTGTACAAGACGAGTGCGTTTATCCACACTGCGAAGCAACCACCAGACGTGCAAACAACGCTACGGTGCCCAACGTGATGGTGACAAATCGTTGCTACATCCGCAATCTCAGCCTCTCGCTTCGTCCCTGCTCTCTTCCTCCCTTTTTCAACACCTTCCTGCTTGATCGTAGTTAAGTCGCTACTGAGTTGAGGCAATTAGGCAATAAGGCGAAGATAAGGGAGCCAGTATCTGTGCGGCTCGCAGGTTATTTTCTGCTTCCCCGCGAACGTCTTCGTAGCTAAATAGTACGGAAGCGCTCAGCGAGAGTGTTGTAGGTACGTTATATTTGTTTACGTGATCATGGCGTGT